GCTAATAGTCCTAGGGATAATTCGGCCCTTCTTGAAACTGGGGGTCAGGCCACAACGGCTTCCTATTAACGTGACCTGTGCGGTATTCTCACTTAAGTGGGGTTCGATACCCCCAATTAAATTTAACCTTGAACATATGGGGGGACCAACTCGCGAGCGGCCCACGTAGACGGATTTTCAAATTTTGTCAGCCACTTCGTCCACCCTCACCACCGGTCGTTCCGGTCTTTTCTTGCCGTCAGAATGAGAATGGGAAGCAAATGATGCTTTGCAATCCTGTTTCGCTATGGACTAATTCACGCGCAAGGTCGCAACTGCTGGGCCTACCTCGTGTGGCAACAGCGGATGTCGTTGCTTGCGGCGGTCAAACTGCCAGGAAGCGGCATTTAGCGAAGGAAAGTCAATTGAAGAGAAAACTAGGCGCAACAGCTAATGCCATCATTTTGTCTCCGAGAGGACGATGCCCGTCTGCTAGCCTAGTTGCAGACTCCCCGATGAGTCCACTGGTGGCGAGCAGTGGAGCCGCTTGCTTCAAAATAATTAGTCATTTATTTCTGACGACCAAAAGATCGCGAACCATGTATCGGTAACACTTCTAGCCGTTGCTGGCCACCGATTTGGCACACTGACTGCATATAAAATGGTCAAGTCATAGTGATATTATGACATGGCAAATGTTGCCAGGCATCCAATATATAGCACTCCTCGCCGGGACCGTGGATTCCCATAAATGTTCATGACTCACTCTGAGGCCTCTGGAGTTGACGAAAGCAATACTGATGTCAGAAGACATAAATACTACGATTAAAATTACTGTACTGGGCCCATCTCATAAAATGTTAAACGAAATTCTGAAATGTACATAAAATTAAGAAGGATTACGTCGGTGGGGTTGTAAGATTAATTATCGTACAACATAACCCAAGATACAGTAGATGTCGAGATCGGTATTTGAGTTCGTGGGACGGGCCCGTGGCTCAATGGTAGAGCGTTCAACTCCATGACCAAAGATCCCGGGTTCGAATCTCAAGTGAACCACATTTGGGGTTGGGTATGACTGGCTGATGACGGCTAATAAGCCAGAAATGGCCATTCCGGTCTCCCTTGTCTTTGTCGGTACCATCTCATCTATATCTACTACTAGTCGCTGTGCGACTGCTTGCGAGGGTTTAAGTATGAGCCC